GGGCTTAACGTGACCTCGTGCAAAAGGAGACCTGACCTCTCATTTTCGCTTCCATTTCATGACCGCAATAGCAAACTGCGCACCTATACGACATTTCGTTGTAGAGTTTCAGGATTACTTTCTTCTGTGTGTGGACATCCTGGAATTTCTACGATGATTATTTATATGACATTTCTTGTGTGTGGACACTTTGAAATTCATACGATGATTCTTTATACGACGTTTCGTTATAGAGTTTCGGGATAAATTGTTTTGTGTGTGGACACGCTGATAGTCATCTCAATTTTCATTTCCCTGGTAGAGCTATGACACAAGACTTTTTGCAAAAGTAGTTTCCAAATTATTCTTAAAATGAGTTTTGCATTTTGACAGACGAGCCACGGCCTATGCCTGGTCTAGCAATTCTATTAATCTATACCATCTTTAACTTTTGCAACTTGTGTGGTAATTTGTTTGAACTCCAAGAAGCACTGTGAAATCGTTTGACATGTGTAAGAGCACTACACAAATGACTTTATCATTATTATTATTATTATTACTACTATTATCATTATTATTACTATTACTATACGAGACACCATACTACCGGTAGTTTTACTACACAGGGGTGGAGAGTGGCAAATGTAGATTAATGTCTTGCCAACAGACAGTACTACTGTACATGTAGTATTGCTGTGACGGGACTTGAACCACTAACCATGTGGTCTACAGTTCGGTAGCGGATTAACAGGACAACAACAAGTATACATTGTCGCATTATCTGTGCCTACCATTATAAATGCAAATAGCAAAATCAGATTCTACTCTTATCGCCGGGCTCTATGCCTACCATTATAAATGCAACGAGCAGTCCAGATTCCACTCATACTTCCTCTTCGTGTAGACTACCAGGAAGTGCCACGCCCTGATCAGTTTCACCAGGTGAGGGCAGCAGATTCAAACAGCGTATGGATTCACTTTCTCTAAAGAGGGACACTTTGTATAATGTATGCCATTACATGGAACTTTTGTATTCTCTGACATGCTCCACTGACAATTGCTCTGACAGGCGTTACTTTGTCAAAAATGTATAGGGTTGGGGTTAGGGTAGATCTCTGGAACTAGTACTATGGTTTCAAACTGGATAAATGTTAGAAGGACACTTTGTATTATATGGAATTTTGTATTCTTTGAGATATATGCTGCACTGATAATTGCTCTGACAGGCGTTATTTTGACAAAAATGTATAGGGTAGGGGTTAGGATAGATCTCTGGAACTAGCAATATGGTTTCACACTGGAAGTTATGTTAGATGTACATGTGCAACATTTTCCTATTTCAACATCTACAAGGGGGATATGAGAAGAAAGAGTAAGAAAAGAAAAAGGAAAAGAAGAAATAGAAGAAGAGGAACAACAACAACAACAAGAACAACCTCAACAACAACATCATCACAACAAACATAGTTTTTATGTGGAAAACAAATGGGATTGGAAGAGCATGGATTTCACAGCTCCCTTTCATAGAAAAGTGAGCATACATGCTCATGCAATGGTATTTCCTTATTCTATTATAACCTATTTCATATTTCTTTTCTAATTCATGGGGCCACTTTCAATTTACATCTTCCCTCCTTCATACAAAACATGGAACACCCCTTATGCACAATGAACTAGTCCAGGCAGCTGCTGAATACAGCATACCTTAATATAGCAACTCATGCATATTCATGTTGTCTTGCAGGATGAGTCATTATGAATCAGGGAGGTCAGTAGGAATGATGCTGTGATGAGTGGTTAGTGTTCTCCAATACGTGCTGCAGTGAAATTGGGTGCGTTTATGATACCTTTTTTTTGTGCCTAGAATCAGCGTTTTCAAACGTGTTTCAAGCAAATTTTCATGGTGATAAGCGCAAGCCTGTTTTCAAACTTCTTTAGATATGGGTATACTGAAAGTTGACGTACAAATGATGTATGAACAAATAGAAACGCTGATTCTGAGTGGCAAAATATGATAAACACACCCATTTTTCCCATATAATATAATGTCTATCGTACACTACATGATCCTTATGGATCAGAAAAGGCAATTTTATTAGATATATGGAATCTAATTAAACATATTCTTCACAATATAGATTCTGAAACACAGATAAGAATACAAACAACCTTAATTTTGGTGCATTTAAACTATTTCTTTTGAAATGACTTCTACATATTCACAAAATCTGATCGGTTTATAGCCGTTTGGTCTATTGATCTATTCCAATATAGTCTACACCCAACCAGTCTACTATCCACAAGGTCAATCATTTCATCTACTCATCATTTGGTCTAATTTCCATTTGGTCTTATCACCAATACGTCTACTACCCATTTGGTCTATCACTCATTTGGTCTAATTGCCAGTCGGTGTAATTCCAAGTTTGTATAATGACCATTTTGTCTACTATCCATCTGGTCTTATAATCATTTTATAATACATTCTAATAATCATCAAATTATTAAGGTAGACCTTATGGATGGTTAACGAAATGGGCATTTGAAAAATGGGAATTAGACTAACTGGTTTTTAGACTAAAGGAACATTAGACCAAATGGGTAGTAGACTAATTGGGGATTAGACCATATGGATATTAGTCAACGGACTATTACCCTAAAAAATGATTTTAGACCTTGTGGATAGTAGACGGGCTGGGTGTGTAGACCATATGGGAATAGAGTAATTGGGTAGATTGGGTAGAAGATGAACTGGTTGTACCGGTAGACCAAATGGCAACTCACCATCTCACCATGCAGTAATGAGTTAAGTTTAAAAATGGCCTTTATTTGAACTACATCATACACTACTACAAACAAAACCCAAATCACAAGGTCTACACTGTAGCATGCTTCAGTCAGCAAAAATGTGACCAATCAGAGACCACCACATCACCCACATGATACAAAGCTTCAATTTTCAATTGACCAATCAGAGAGGAACACAAGACACATTGATATGAGGTGGGGAGTGAAACTACAACTAAAAATGTCATTTGAAACTATTGAAAAAAGATGAGTGTATGAACTTGAACAGTTGAGGAAGAGATAGACAGAGGGAGACTGAGACTAAGACAGAGAGAGAGAGAGAGAGAGAGAGAGAGTGGGATGAGAGAGGGGGAGAGAGGGGGAGAGAGGGGGAGAGAGGGGGGAGAGGGGGGGGGGGGGGAGAGAGGGGGAGAGAGAGGGGAAGAGGGGGAGGGGAGGTGACTAATGCCAAATGTAACTAGAAATAAGAGATTGAGTGGTTGAACTTAAATAATTAATGAGGGAGAGTGGGAGAGAGAAAGAGAGAGAAAGAGAGAAAGAGAGAGAGAGAGAGAGAAGAGAGAAAATACTGTGACATTACAAGCATATTTATTATTGATTAATGTACATGTTCACTGTATATGTTCATAAACTAACTACCAAACTACAAACTCACAAACTACAGCATCCACATTCAATAGAGTTCAGCAAATGCTCTGGTGGAGTTTGCCAGATTAGCAATTAAGTGTACTAATCCTAATCCTACACTAGAGCAGAGTGTCATCTCTTTACCTCAAAAGTATTGATGAAATACAGCCAATCATATTAACAATTTGGACAGTTAAGAACAAATATGAATTTTGGAAAAGAAATCTGAATAGTTCCTAAACATAATGATATACATGTACAATATTTGGCCATATTAAGAAATTTATGCAGAAAATCAGAAATTAATAAAATAGTGAAAAGGGAACATAACCCAGTTTACTTGTTCTTCTTGTTTGTCATTCATACATGTATATGTTGGACGCTACCCGAATGTGACTTTTGTGTATATTGCTTCATCTTTCGCACTAGAGAACCCTGAGCGTTTGATTTCAAGTGGATTTGGTGCCTTTGGTGGTTATTATGTTTACAGTAGAAGGAATATAATAAGTCACATTTCATACAAAAATGACGCTGTTTTTTCATCAACCTTTATCAATGTTACCGAATCACTTTAATGACCAGAAACCAGTATTATTGTATCCTTTTCTATTTTTTAAAGATGGTCAGTTGACAGCTGTATCTCCTCAATTTGATACAGCACTTGCAGAAATGTAACATTCATCAGAATCCCAGGAATAAGCCCTCAAATAAGAGACAAACCCTTCATTCATGGCAATCTAACTACAGCCTACATGTAATACTGTACAATAAGGCTACAAGAGAGGACAACAGATCTCTGAGGCTGTTCACACCGCAATGAGATAGCGCGGTCTATCGTAGCACCCCCTTTTTTTCTAGCGCGCGCTAGAGCGCGCTCTCTCTCGTGGACCACCCCCAAGAGGTGCTCCAGTGGCACCCCGTTTTGGCTCGCCGTGGCTCGCTGTTGGGCGGACTGAAACGACGTTGTACCTTCCAAACCGCAGAGATAGCGCGGTCTAGCGTGCGCTATCTCTGCCAGTGTGAACAGCCTCCTTGACTCCAATGGAGCTAGTGGAGGAAGAGGAGAAGGAGAGAGAAGATGATCTATCGATGTCCAAGCCTTTGTCTCCAAATGACGGAGGAGAAGGAGAGAGAGAAATTGAAAAAAGGGATCGAAGCCTCTTAGTTGAGCAATTGAGTAATTAGAGTTAGACGATAGGCCTATACGATACGGTCTAATAATACGGAGGCAGTGTTCATTATTCACCAGTTCACTTCGGTCCCATCTGTTCATATCTGTGTAAAGTTTGAGAGTAGTCTCCCAGAGTTAAAAGCTATATTAGTTTCCTCGCGCTAATCTTTACCTCAAAATATTAAATATACAGTATAGGGCAGCACTTTGGAAGTATTAAAGAAAGCTTATCTTCACTATATTTACATATTTCTACGGATAAACTGGAGAAAGCATATCATTTCCGGCGCGCGATCCAAGATGGCAGCGCCCATGATACTGCATGCTTTTAATCACAAAACAGTCGATATTCTCTTTATAACTCACGAAAAATTGTCCAGCATGGTATGAATTATAATTCAACATTATATTTTACCTCTATCGAACTTCTTTCCCTCGGGATCTATGTCCTTCACGTCAAAAATGTCTTCAAATAAAACTCCAGCCATTGTGTGTATTATTACGGTATTTCGTCTTTCCAGCGATTGTTTAGCTCGAATATTTTTACACCGAGAGAGGGAGCCAAAGCAAAACTAATAACGGCTGACTGAGAGTTTGGGTATTGGAGGTCTAGAGTCTATATCATTTTTTTCTTTTTCTTTAGTTCTTTAAATTTTCACTCTAAAAAAAGAAGATACCAATTATTCACACTTCCCCCGCCTCATATTTCCCTAGTATCTAATGAAAGGAATTCGTTCTCCCCCTACCCTTCACTGCAGAAAAACCTATACCCCAACCCACACCCCCTCCCACCCAAGAACATAGTTATTTTTAAAAAAATAAATAGGGATAAAAGCAGCTCTATCAAGGTTCAAGGTTCAAGGTTCATTTTATTTCTTTCTTTCACAACATTTTTACATATAATAATTGAACAAAAAACAGCATAAGAAAAAACAATTTAAGTGCAATTTTAAGTCGATATATATAATCCAAATGAAAGAAAGTGGAGACCTTAGAAAAGCTGGGCTTGTAAGGGCAAGGTCCCCATATAAAATAATCCATCAATGTCTCACTTTTAACATATGTTTCAAAGTTATCAAAACTACACATGATTAAATATGGGGGAAATATTTACAAAAGGGATAGCTTGAAATTTGAAAAGGAGAGGATGAAAATATATACAAAGGAATCGAGAGGAAAAAAGCAAACTGGAGCGAGAAAAACAACAAAACAGAGAAAAACAGAGAAAGAAGAAAGTTATATGTATATAGGGGAAAATGATATTTGGTGTAAAGAAAAAGAAAAATAGAAGAGAGGAGGGGGGGGGGGGGAGAGAGAGAGAATGTGAAATGCTGACATTTATATTGAATAATCAAACATAACAAAAACAAAAAGATAATGCACGTTATCAATAACAATTGACAAATTATTACCTAATATCATTTCTGGAGATATAATTTTTACGTTAATTGTCGACATAGTTACTCAATAAATGTAATTTCAATTTGCGTTTAAAAACAAAGACACTGACAGATCTAGTTACATTGATAGGAAGCGAGTTCCAAAATTTGGGACCAGTACAAGCCAGCATCTTCAGAGCAAAAGCAGTTCTTACACGTGGAATATGAAGAGCAGTTGCCTGCCTTGTATTATAGCTATGAATTTGATTGTTCTTTCGAAATATTTGTACTAACGCATTTGGGAGAGTACCATTTTCAAAACCATACATAATTGCGCCTAACTGTATAAAGTAAATGTCTTCAACCTTCAAAAGCTTATTACTGTAGAACAAAACATTAGTATGAGCACGATAGCTCGCATTAAAAACAACTCTAACCACCCTCTTTTGGGCAACACAAATCTTATCTAATTGTGTTTTCAATGACTTCCCCCATGCCAGCACTCCATAATTGAGATAAGGCAAAATTAAAGTAGAATACAAAATAAGCAACATTTCTTGTGGGACAAAAGAACTTAATTTATAAATTACACCAGTATTTCTAGACACGACTTTACAAATATTAGTACAATGAGATGCCCAAGACAGCTTCTCATCAATATGTAGCCCAAGAAACTTGGTGGAAGTTACTCTCACAACGTTAACATCATCAAAAAATACATTTCCAGGTACATCCTTTAGGGAGTTACTAAAAACATATAGTTTGTCTTTTGAAGATTCAAGGACAACTTATTTGCATGAATCCATAAAATAACTTTCTTTAATTCAATATTAACTGTATCTAATGAAACTTCAGGGTTTTTATGAGAAAAAAATACACTTGAATCATCTGCAAAAAATATAAAAGATAGTACATCAGACGAAAGATAAAAATCATTAATATATAATATAAAAAGTAGGGGGCCAAGAAGGGACCCCTGAGGGACACCACAAGATATAGTTTGATGACTTGAGTCAGTTCCATTTAATGATACATATTGTTTTCTGCCTGTTAAATAGCTCCTGAACCAGCTAAGAGCGATGCCCCTCACTCCATAATATGACAATTTACTTATTAAAATTTCATGATCAACCGTATCAAACGCCTTAGAGAAATCCAAAAATAAACCAATTGTATGAAGGTGACCATCTAGTGCTTGAGCTATTTTATCAACAAAGTGTAAAATTGCATGTGTAGTGGTGTGCTTTTCACGAAAGCCAAACTGGAATTTTGAAAATATTTTAGTCTTTAATCATGCCATATAATTATGCTTAACTAAAGTAAATTTATTAGCTCTGCCTCGACGTCCCTAGCAAAGAGGATTGTCCCATTTTGTGAAATGATTATGTAATGTTCCTTTTCGTTCAGCCACTTGCTTTTTCTTGTTTAAAAAAATATTTTTCCTTTTTCCTGTTGAAAAGAAAAATCGTATATTTTATTAAAATAGTGGTCTGTTAAATAATTTTTCTTCACCCACTGTCGACCTTTCTATTCCGAGATGAACCATTTCCAGTTTATGTAAGTAATGTCTAACACATTTTAAAAAGGGCCACAATCTTCCTTAAAGCCCCACTGTACTACTTGTAACTACTTGCTCCCTCTATTCTAGAAAACAATGCCTAATTGGTGCCCGTTGATGAGTTGATGAGATAACCACCTGTCAGTGACCACGCTGGGTAGTCTAATCCCTCCTGGCCAAACTAGTGCAGATGGGCTTTAAGTGTTCTTGTTTGTTCACATAAAAAAGATAAAATGGGCACGTGTCCTCCACTATCTAATAAAGGAACATAATCATTTTTACAAAAGTCTTAAACATAAACAGATGAGATGTTATTTGTATGAACCTTTTTGGTCAAAATAATATTTAGAATATTAAGTCTTTTCATATACATAATCCTCTGTACACGAATGAATAGTTTAAAATCTGTCATTCTAAGTCCTCCTCTATCAAAATGCAAAAATAAAATAAATATGATAAACCTCTGTATCTTTTCTTTCCCATTTAAAAAATAATCAAAGATTGATTAATCAGTTTCCTTTTTAAAAAAATGCGGCACTACTAAGTGAGTGAACATACAATATTAGTATGATTGAACTTTCCCCATCGTCAAAGTCAAATCCCTTTGATGCCACGATGTTATTTTGTTTAAATTTTATTTAAAATTTCTTTATGAAATTAAATCTTTCCTGGATTTCATTATCTACAGAAAAGAATAATTCTTAAAATTTTGACTAACTGCAATACCCTAATATACCAAAAGGAAAATTGATATTTATATCAGTATGTGGGCCCAAAAACAAAAAGAAAGTCTTATCTCTATTCATTTTAACCAACATACTGATAATGATGTTTAATGTCATTGCATTAAAATCATTTAAGACTGTGTCTCAGGTGGTGTGTGCCGCTTTTTCAGTTTTTGGCCCATGAACTTACACTGCTAATATGTGGAAATTGCCATGTACGGTACATGTACAGTGTGTTTCCATTCCAAACATGTCCTGTAAGAAGTCTTTAATTCATTTGGGAATATAACAAAAATTGGTTTTCTGATATTTTTTTCTTCTGTGTGTAGCGTAACAAAATATGTAAAATGTTAAATCGAGAAAAAGATTTTCAATAGACAGATTCCTGGGGTGTGAAAAAATTTGAAATATAATTAGTTTTATAAACCCATATTCTGAGTAAATTACATCTCTATGATATATGCGCCATACGTAGGCTATGTATGTAAATCAAACAGGTTTATTACATCAAACTCATAATGAAAACTATATCAATTTAAAAGAAATTATCAGATAATTCATATTCGGTCAAAAAATTAGAAATCATGATTTTTGGAATTATTTCAAATTTTGAGCCCAAAGGGGCATATTTAGTAAACAATAAGCATGGCATCCAACCTTATCTTATTCCTTAGTATTTCTTCAATAGATTAAGCACGGATGCCATGCATTAACCCCAAACGGCATGGAATGTTTTTTAAAATATTTTTTACAAATATTTTGCTTGTCTACTACAACGGAATCCGTGTTTTGGCCCTTGTTCAAATGCGATTTGCTCAAAATTTATATATAATCGTATTTAGTATTATTCGAAAGGACATTTCATTGCAGTCATGTTGACATCATTGTCATTTGCGCGGAATACTGCAAGCATCAAACGGTTTGTTATGTAATCCACAGTAAATTCATAATTTTGGGCGATAACTTTGCGATGACGTCATCAATTTTTACAAATTTGACAGACAGTTATCAAGCGTAGGGATAAATTTATGTCTGATAACTTTATTAAACGTAGGTCACAAATATCGAAATTTAGAGCAAGATGAAGATAAATCGCAATTTTCTTAAAAACTGCTAATTTGGAGTAATAGGGTTTATCTTTTTACTTGGCTGGAAAGAACATGTCTTGAGGTATCTAGATCCCCCAGAAGTACGGGTTCGGCCAGATCCGATGGAGCTACGACCACAGAGATAAAGCCCTTTTTTTTATGATTTTAGAGGGCACTATCTATTTTATGCATAGCCATATATATATTGTAGCGTAAAGCTCAACATGGCTATACAACAATGAGATAACAATTCTCTGGAAATTGGAGACAAATATTAGTTATTATGAAAAAGTTATGGCAATTTTAGAATTTGGGGGGTAATTTTGTCAAGAATTTTAGAGATTAATTTTTATGAAGGAGTCGGTTTCGAGTTTGCACTTCGAGTATGCAGAAGGCATTTCGAAAGCCAGGATAACCGTCGCAGATGAAAGAACATCTCTTAGACTATCTAGAGGAAATCGTAAAACTCTGTTGATCTAGGATTATAGTGGTGATACAAAGGAAGAAAGAGAGGCATTAAAACGGACAAAATGGCACCTGGACGGTAACGCATGAGTGTTTCGGAAAACGAAGAGTCAGATGACCTAGATTGGATGGTTCCATGACACATGCTCCGCTGACGATTGCTCCGCCGACATTTACTCCGCAAAACGCGACAATTGCTCCGCGACATTTGCTCCGCGACAGTTGCTCCGCCGACAGTTGCTCCGCCGACAATTGCTCCGCCGACAATTGCTCCGCCGACATTTGCTCCGCCGACAATTGCTCCGCCGA